GGAATGTCGGGTTATTAGGGGCCAGTTCTTTTCGGCGATTCTCCCAGAATCGCCCCCTTCCCCAGCTTCTCCCAGAATCGCCACTACATATTTTTTTTACAATCCTATCTAGTTAAGGTCTAATTAGCTAGGATTGTAAAAAACATATGGAGTGATGATTCTGGGAGAAGCTGGGGAGGGGGGCGATTCTGGTAGAAACGCCCAAAAGAACTGGCCCTAGGTTAGATAAATGAGCCCGAGAAGATGGTTTGCATTATCACATAAATATGAACTCAGTGCTGTAGGTTAAATTTACTCACTGCTTGGACGTCCTTGTCACTTTAGTGTACATTTATACTCGTTAGATGGAATTTTGCTAGTGATTATAAGTAGGCTATATATCTATCACCCATGCTCGAACCAAATGCACAGTTCCCTTGCACCTCTTTGCTAGATTTTGCAAATAAATAGAACATGTCCTGTATAACATCAACAAGTTTGGGTGAATCTCACTTTCCGTTGGCGGAGTTGCCAGTATGTGTTGTGTTGGTAATTTTTGCCCTTTTTTGGTAGTGAATATTTTTTGCCAGTTAACTTCACGTAGTTATAACTTGTTCAATACCCAAACTTAAGGAGTGGTGGGAGGGGAGATAAAAGATAAGCTATCAAGCATGCTATATTAATTTGCTAATTCAAATTATTTTTATATGCTGACCGTGGATTAAATGATCTGGTGGACTATGCTAATTCAAATAATTTTTATATGCTTTATTCCTGGGAGTTTTTTTTTTCCTTTCGTTTTGCTGATACTATGGTTGAATGATGCAGTTTGAAGTATAATTTGGGAGGATCTGACTAAGGAAGCACATAAGATTGACCTGTTCTTAATGGATAAAATACCTGCTGATTGCCCTTATCCTGGATGTTTCTTCTGTGTTATGAAGGAAGCAAACCCTAGCAAAAGAAGAGCAAGTGTGCTGAAATTCTTTAGAGAACTTCCTTCCCAAGATGATGATGGCCAAGTTCTCCCTATTAGTGGCCTTTGGAACACTGCCATGGCACACCCAAATGACCCTGAATTCATCAACTTGGGAATATTTGAGTGCATGGCAGCTCTAATATGGAAGGGCCTGAAAAACAGGCGTTGGCTTTCACATGATCAGAATATTTACATCCCATATTATGCAGCACATGTTATTGGATCCTATACGATGAATATGGAGGAGTTTGCAGAACGCGCTGTTCGTGCCGGAGTAATACCTCCATTAGTTGAACTCTTAAGAGGTAGGCTCACCTGGGTGGAGCAAAGAGTTGCTGTCAGAGCTTTGGGGCATTTGGCTACATACCCTAGTACATTCCCTGCTGTTGCTGATCATGGAGAAGTGCTTGAACTTGCAATTCAACTTGCCTCAAGCTCTCTAGAAATTGTGTACTCTCATTTTTACCAATTCGTAGATCGAAGACTTGGCTACCACTGTGATCTTCTTACACGTGGTATGGGTGGTGCTGAAATGGAATCTCGTAAAGCTGAGGAATGGGCTAGCCAACTGCAGTGCTGGTCTTTGCAGCTCATAAACTGCTTTGCATTTAAGCCTGAGTTTCTTCATGATATCTGCAAGCCTGAGTTTCTAGCTAAGTTACCTGGTATGTGGGGTGGACTTGTGAATGAGAACTCACCTGCTGGTGTTGGTTTACTAAGAACAATCTGCCAGAGCAAGCTTGGCCGAGGTCATGTTGCTAATATTTCTGGTGTCATCGAAGCTTTATGCAACATTGCTCGCTCTTCAGATGACTGGCAATACATGGCCATTGATTGTTTACTCTGGTTAGTGCAGGATCCTAGCACATATCATAAGGTAAGACATTCCAAATTTTGCACAATGCTTGAAGGGATGCTTAAACATGATCAAGAATTCTAATTTAGCGTCTTGTCGCTTGGTGCCCATTCCCATGTCCTAATTGAAATAGCCTGGATTATATTTGTTGAATTGCTTGAGCTTTAAAGATATTGACAAGCATCTGTTATCCTTTGGACTTGATAACAAGAAAATTTGTACAGTTTAAATGTAAATTACGTAATTTCTGATAAACATTAGGAAATGAAGGGTTGAACGAGTACTTTGAGCTAACAATTTTTGAGAACTGATATTAAACTTCACTTTCTATATTGGAATTGTAACATTAAATTTCTCTGGAGATAATTGCAAATTACATAACTCTTCGTAAACCTTTGGAAATGAAGAGCTGAGTATTTTGAGCTATCCATTTCTGGTTATTTTTATTATTTTAAATACTATTGTTAAGCTTAGGATGCTGCATCTATTGTCTGTTTAGCATTTCAGATATTGTTTGGTGCAAGCTGCGTTGTCTGCTTTCTTTTTGTTAATGCTAGTTCAGAATGGTTACTCTTGCTGATTATTAGCAAAAAAAAGCTATCATTACTGTGGTCCTGTCGGGATGCAACCTATAATTGTTTGTTAAGCTTTGGTTTTTACAACTTTAGTTGCTTTTCCCATGTGTACAGGTTATAGATAAAATTGCCCCGACACTGATAGATTTAGCGGATATTTCCACACTCGGTGATTACAAAAGGCTGGGTGACACTATTGTCACAGTCCTCCAAGAGTGTATGCAACAAAATGGGAATTCACGGAATTCAATTAGTAGTCACACCAAAGAAGAAATTGATGAACTCTTGAGCTTCAAGCAGAAGCTGAAATCGGAAAAGAATATGCCAAAGGAGGATCTTCATATAAAACAAGCTGCAGCATTGGTTGTAAAATTGGAAGGAAATTCCCTGTTCTCCTCAGGAAATATTGAAGGAGCTGCAGCGAAGTACTCTGAAGCACTCGCATTGTGTCCAATGAAGTCCAAGAAAGAAAGAGTGGTGCTTCATAGCAACCGAGCTCAGTGTTATCTTCTCCTGCAGCAACCTTTGGCTGCCATCAGTGATGCTACCCGTGCATTGTGCCTTCATAGTCCGTTGAATCGACACGCCAAAAGTTTGTGGAGAAGAGCCCAAGCATATGATATGCTTGGTTTAGCAAAAGAGAGCCTGCTGGATGCAATTCTGTTTATAAATGAATGCTCTCAGTCCAGTGATCCTGACCTATCCTTGAGGCAAAACAAGGTTCCTGATTACGCTGAGCGATTGGTGAAGAAGCAGATGCGTGCTGCTTGGTTATTCAGGGAATCATCCCTAAAACATGGTGGAATCCATTGTGAGGGAGATGCTAGTGATGCATTTGGTCAAGAGGCTGATGACTCTGAGTGGGAGACAGTGAGTGAAAGCGATGGTGAGGATGATGAAAGGAGAGAAGCAGATGATGAAACTGAATGGAAGAGTGGTGGTCACAGGAAAGATGCATACGAAAAAAGCTGAGAAACAGGTTTGCAGACAAAAAATGCTTTTCCTTTTATTTATTTAATTTATTTAAGCTGTGGTTTCCTTCTAATAAGTGTAGTGTAATGCATGTAAGAACATTTGAATTTTTGAAGAATAGCTACGATGTGAAAATTAAACAACTTTTCTCACCATCGCCTAATTATCCTACAAACAGGAGTGGTGTAGTGGGCAAATAGTGATAGGAGAACAGTTTTTAAACAAAATTATGACTAAAGATTGTATGTACCGTAGCCACCCCCAAGATATTCTTTAAGAAAATAAATTAGAAATTCTCCTGCCTCAGTGCTCAATCTATATTATGGTACACATGTAATCATTAGCAATCGGTGATTTGTTTACCTTTTCCTGACTTTAGAAAGGTGATGTTTCACTATGGCTGGTACAAACAACTGGCAACTATGGCGCCTTCCTAATCCAGGCATCTGTTGTCTTTCAGGTTTTGGTGCTATTGATTGTTATTTGGTAAGCTTGCTCCCATTGTGCTTGTCGTCGGAAGCAGCAACAACAACAGAAGCAGCCGCTTGCCTGCTGCCCTACCAAAGCTAAATTAAGTTGTGGAAACTATGTGAGTCTGCTACTGAAAGCTCATAAAAATGCAGCTTTCAAAAGTATGTTTGGTGTCACCGTATTGTCCGCATGGAGGGCAAGGCCAAAATTTAGCCGTTGCCCTCGCCATGTTCTTTGATCTGTGTGAGTTGCTGTGACAGACTATTGAGAATGTTGTCCTGCTCTTGATTGGTGTTGTAAATTGAACAGAACAGTACCTTAGTTCTATCTTAAACATCATCAATTTGTGAATGAGCTTCACCTTGAAGACACAATGCAAGTGATATACTTCTGTGCGTCTTGAAATTTCCATTCGTGTGGCACAGATGATCGAGTGCTCGATCACAACAGGAAACCTTTTTCCAGTTTACTCTTTGAGATATCTTTGCTCTATTTGCAGTGCAGTGGAATAATTTTATGAATGGGCACGAACTGATGATATAGGGTAAAAACCATGATAAAGAACAGAAAAAATCAGCCTGTTCAAACTGTGATGTTGCTGGCCACCTAGTGCACTGTTGAAGATCTCACTGCACCAATGTTTTGGTGACTGTCGAAAGACATGTTGTCGGAGTAAATAGCCATGGGTAGCCTAGCCGGCTTTCCCTGGCCCTCCTGAAGAAATTACGAGCCCGCTCGGCTCTCAAGAATTCAAGACATAGGGGCCGCCTTCCCCTTGCTGGCTGCCACCCAGGCCGGCTTTCGGAAGGCGGTCCGACTTTAGCCCTTATGAGAAGGCCGACTCCAAGAAGCCGGCTCCCCATAAAGCGGTCAAGACTGTACCCACAAAGTTTGCACCCACCTAACGGCGGTGCGACGGGGCGTGGCTACAGTAAAGCCTGCCACCCCCGAATCCCGGAGAACGCCTGGCATGGTGCGCCGTACGGGCTAGGCGACCCGTCCAGCGCACCATTGTTGCCATGTTCACCCTGGCATCACCCACGACGGGCCGCCAGCGTGGCCCACAGACGGTGGGCCCCTTTGAGCAGAGAGACGCCCGAAGGCGGCCACGCCTCCGACTAGTCGGCCCAAGACAGGGCCGGCTCCCCGCAGCCGGCTTGCCGCCTTCCTCGAAGAGGACGCCCCATTAAGGAGACAAGACGTGGTAAGGCTACAGCGATCGCCTGACATGCGGCGGTACTATGGCCGCGCTTGCCACGATGGAGCTCACGTCAACAAGATGAAGCCACAGTAACTAGCCGCCGACCAGGCCCTGGATAGTGGGGCCTGCCTGTCGACCAAGGGGCCGGCAGCCGGCGGGACCCACCAGTCGGCGGGCCCCAGCAGCCGGCGTAGAAGCCGGCGAGCGCAGTCACAGACGGCTGGGCCCCGCGCCCAACCGGATTACCATTGTACCCCCGGGGGGTAGGCCTATATAAACCCCCCGGAGCACCCATGCAAAGGGTTGGACCCTTAGCTAATTCTAGACACAAAAATCAAGGAGAAGAAGCAGGCTAGCCGTGCCCTTCTTCCTCCTTCCCCCCAAAACCGCTCAAGGAGCATTGTGTAGCCACTCAATTCGTCTAGTGAACATGCGGAGACCCCGCAGAGCAGCAGTAGGGGTGTTATCTCCACGGAGAGCCCCGGAGCTGGGTAAGATCCGGCGTGCATGTCTTCGCCTTATCCCGTATCCAGGCACCGGCGATGTCTTATGGCTCCCACAATGATAAGCCACCCGTTGGCATATGTCGCACCTACCACTCGACATTTGGCGCCCACCGTGGGGCCAGGTGCACCGTCGTCCGGAGACCTGTTCTGGACGGGAACCTTATCCCCCCCCTCCCGCGAGCGTAGCCGGCCCGGCACGCTCGATGGCGCTTGCCACGACGCGCTGCAAGACGTCACCAGCATCTGCGCTGCAGGCGGCCTCGCCGATCTCCTCGACAAAACTCTCATCTCCGACGAGCTCGCCTCCGATGCGGGCACCGACCACCTCGCCAACCTTCTCGGCCAGCTCCATGTCTCCAGCGAGCCCGCTGCGGATCCGGAGTCGGTTGGCTCCACCGACCCGATGCCTGGCGACTCCGACACGGCCTCCTACGACACCTTCCCCGCCAACGTCGCGATCTACAACGACCCGCTTCCTCGAACCGATGGCTGCGATGCTGTCACCGCCAAAGTGATGGTTGTCGGCCACGGCTGCCTGACCGACGAGAGCGCCCACGACGCCTCGCGCGCGGCGGCCCACGACTTGTCCGCTCCCCTCCCGGCTGATGCCGACGACGAAGCACTGGAAGCACGCCGCCTCGCCCTCCTCACAGAGGGCCGGAGGCTGCCCTCCGTAAGACGCCTCACTGGGGCCTACCAGCGCGAAGCTGACCGCGCCGCCTTCGGCATGCCGGCCCGGGGCGGGCCAAGCTGGGCCGGCCTTGTCAAGCAACGCGGCGCCGTCATCGCCGACACGCTGGGAGTCGACCGCCCGGTCTATGCCACGCCGCTCGAGAACTTGCGTGCCGCCCAGGCGGCCGTAGACGAGTTGGACGGCTTGGAGGCCGAATACCTCCCCCACATGACCCGGCGCATCCAGCAACTGATCGACGCAGCCGCGCAGCGGCACGAAGCAGAGGCCCGCGCGGGAAGCCCTCCCCCGCGCCGAGATCACGGCGCGACGTCCCGGACGCCGACTACGAGCAATACCCGCGCGCGACGCGAGAAGGAGCCAGCTACCAGCCGCAGCCGGACCCGGATCTCCATCGAGCGAGACGCGGATGGTCATCCCCGAGCCATGGAATGGCGAGGTGACCCGCCTCAGCCTCCGCCCCGTGGAGAGAGATATCCCGCCTCGTCGCCAGTGGCGCACCCGACTCTCAGCGGCCGGCTAGGCCGCCGTGAAGGAATCGGCGAGAGCGACGCCCGCCATCGGATCGACCGCCTGGCGCGATCCCTGGCGTTGGAAGAAGAAGACGATGTCGGCCCGCCTTGTTTCGGCCCCCGCATCCGCGACGAGCCCTTTCCTAAAGGGTTCTCGCTCCCAAGAGACACGCCCAAGTACAACGGCTCCGTAAAGCCGGAAGATTGGTTGATCGACTACTCCACGACGGTTAGCATAGCCAACGGCAACCGGCGCGTTGCCGTGAAGTACGTGCCCCTCATGCTGCAAGGCACGGCGTGGACCTGGCTCAACAGCCTCAAGCCGCGTAGCATCAACAGCTGGCTGGATTTCACAGAAGCCTTCATCCGCAACTTCACCAGCACCTACAAGCGGGCTCCCAAGCCCAGACAGCTCTCCTTGTGCGTACAAGGCCCCGCCGAGTCCACTCGCGATTACCTCACGCGTTGGGCCGAGCTCCGCAACTCCTGCGAAGGGGTGCACGAGGTGCAAGCCATAGAATACTTCACAGTCGGATGCCGAGAAGGCACCTCCTCAAGCACAAGCTCCTCTGCGACGAGCCGGCTACCCTCGACGAACTTCTGGACGTAGCGGATAAGTACGCCACCGCCGACTCCTCAATGAAGACCGAGCTTCGGGTAGACGCGTCCGGAAAGGTACTCAACCCGGCGCCCAAGACGCCGGCTGGGGATTCCGGCCGGCACCCCAACTCGAACGACCACAAGCGCAAGGGCCCCGCGCCCCCTCCCGCCAGTCGACAGGTGGCCACAGTCGAAGACGCGCCGCCTGAAGAACGACCGGCGCCCAAGAAACCCAAGGGCGGCAGGCCGGCTTGGCAGCCCGCTTTCTCCTACGAGCAAACTCTCGACGCCCCTTGCAAGTTCCACAGCGGCGCGAAGTCGTCCAACCACACGACCCGGAAGTGCAATTGGCTCACCCGAATCTCCAAGGGCGAGGGTCTCTTGCCGCCTCCGCCCGCTGGCCCGCCGCCTCCGGCCGCTCGGCCCGCAGTCGGAGCCGTGCATGACAAGTTCCCTGACGAGCAAGCCACCTACATCGTCTTTACCAGCCAGCCCGAAGACCGGCGCAGCAAACGCCGAGAGCACCAGGAAGTCAGCGTGGTCGCTGCCAACCCCGCCGGACACATGCATTGGTCAGAAAAGCCCATCAGCTGGAGCCGGCCCGACCATCCGGAGGTGATGCCGTGTCCCGGCTCTTATGCTTTGGTCCTGGAAGCCACCCTTGCAACGGACAGACGCGCCGCCCGCTTCTCCCGTATGTTGATAGAGGCGGGAGCAGCATCAACATCCTGTACCGTGACACCCTGAAAAAGCTAAATGTCAAGACGAAGCAGCTGATGCCTACGCGGACAGTGTTCCATGGCATCGTACCCGGCCTGTCCTGCGCCCCCATTGTCAAAATCAAGATTGATGTACTTTTTGGGGACAAGGAGCATTTCCGCCGGGAAGCGATCTGGTTTGAAGTGGTGGACCTGGAGAGCCCTTACCATGCATTGCTTGGCCGGCCTGCTTTGGCCAAATTCATGGCAGTTCCCCATTATGCATACCTCAAGATGAAGATACCAAGCACCAAAGGCGTC